AATCCGTTTAGCTACGAAGGGTTAAATCTCATTAAACCAGACTCCACCATAATGATGAATATGTATAGAGAAATGTGGAGTTGTCTCCATGTAAGGGGGACGCCAACCACATCCACGGCCTCCGATATGACGAGGTGTGATACCACTAACAAACGTTGGCCCTTCTTGCCATACCCACACCATCAAAGCATGGTCCTGGTTGTTGTTGCCTGTGGGGCACCTTACCACCATGCACTAGCGACCACCAAGGGACTGCCAACCACTACTTGATGGACTTTTATTGTTGGAGGGTAGCCATCCCATCCGATCGTAAGGTTGCAACCATTACCGGCATCATGCTAATCGTACTGAGTTACGCTGACTCTTTGTTTGTTTCCGAAAGCCAGTGAAATAGAATATGTAGAAATTCGACCCTTTGTTTGTTGTTGGAGCCAGTAAAATGAAGATATATAGAAATGTGTAGCCTTTTGTCCATTGCTGGAGGCTAAATGAGATAGTGAATTTGACCCTTTTTCCATCGTTGGGAGCTGTGTAGATATAATAAAATCAGCCCGTTGTCCATTGATGGGAGCCAAGCAACAAAATAGGCTCTTTATCCATTGTTGGGGAGCCAAAATATGTAGCGGTAAACATTGCTGCAAAGGACATGACCGTCAAAAACACCCAGCCATGTTGCATAGATAATGTGGTTGTGTCTAGCCATGTGTAAGGGAATGCTGCTAAAGTAAAACATGTTTGTATCATTCCCAGCGAAGTGGGTAGATGCCGCTCCTGGTGATATATAAGAGAATAATGTTGAGTGCTGCTTTTGGCGATGTCGACTCCATTGAGCAATTAATAGAAAATGGGAACTACACGCCCAATGTGAGAAGTGAGCATTGTGGGCCCTTGTTGATGTGGATCCACACATGTTATTGGTGATGTAACCATATAAACTCATCCCTCAACATTAGCCCCCCAAGCGGGCGAAGTTGTGACAGCAAGTTTGGCCGCTTGGCATTGAGGGAGGTAAATCATCGAGGCATCCTCTATATGACCATTAACCTACTTGGATGGTACAGAAATCAGATAATCAATATGGATTCCCCTGTTGAAGCAAATGTGATTTAAAGGACTTAGGACCACCAAGACTTGGCTCCGGCCAAGTAAACCGCTGACGATGGGATGACTTCGACAGAGGCCAAATTGTGTTAAGCTTGGGTATTTAAAATAGTGATAAGCATAGGCAAGTCTGATATGACTTTGGCCACCACTGATGAGTAAGGTGTGGGTCTCAATGCTGTTGACAAGGTCTCAATATAGATGTGATCCAAGCAAGGCTAAAGTAAAATCCTAGGTAGTAGTGATTCCGACCACTACGGATATGAGTCTAGTGAGCAAGCTTATGGCCGCGTCCATGCCCGTATTCTGGCACGGGCTGCACCATCTTTCTTCTTAGAAAAATAATATGTTCTGAGCAGTCATTGTAGACTTTTTTTTTTTTAAATACTGTTCACTACAGTTCAGATATGAAGGGAAGTTTGAAACTATTCCCCAGTGGGGTTTTCAACAGACAGAAAGAAAAAGTAACTCCTTTTGTGAAAAAGATAAAGAAACTGAACCTTCCCCAAAAATCCCGTTATGATGGCGCATAAAAAGGGGAGATTTTAAAGGAGATTGTATACATGCATATGCATCAAGACAATGTGCACCTTACTTGCCGTCCCTCTGATAATTGCTGGCCATGTTGATGAGCAACAAGTGGCAAAGTGGTTGGCTGGTGCACTTAATGTTGCTCTTAATTTCCCTTTCTGCCATTCTCCTCTTTCCTTAGTGAGTCTTTCAATTTTCCCTTTCTTCCTTTTCTACAAAACTGCTGAATCATTCTCTCTTTCTTTTGCGTCCTCGATTTTCATCATCTTCTCCCATCAAATTTCTGGATTTCTTGACAAAGTTACCGTATTCTTCCCGAGAAGTTAATCTAGTAGGCAAATTTGCCAAAATCCCTTTTCTAACCGAGGTAATGATGGACCCCTATTTCTCTACTCCATTCATTTTTTTTTTTGGCGATTGCATACTGTAGATTTCTTGTGCTTCCATTAATCTGAATCTTTGTTTTATCTCCTTCTTTCTTTCTGTAGAAAGCCTTAAAAGATGGCCGAACCTTATCTGATCAATGGAGTGCAGCCGTGCCGCGATTCATGGTACACTTTTCAAGACGACTTTTTGAAATTCAATGCTTGGTCAGCGAAGAGGGCGCTCAAGAAGCAAAAAGATTTGGTTCTACTTGAGGCTTTCAAGGGGAATGATAGCAATACAACATGGTTTCCTTCGCCACGCGACGTAATGCAAGCAAGGCTTGAAAGGCGAGATTTGTTGCCAATGCCAATCCACTTTGCTTTCCTGTTCGGTAAGATGGAAGATTGGTCTAGTTAGGCCAAGGAGATGCTTGCGGAGAACGGTTTTGTGGAGATATTGCGTGCTACCGGAATTCTTAAGTCGGTAGCTTTGAGCCAGACTTTGCAAATCAACGGTAATGTGGAGTGCCTTTATCGCTTGGTGAGGAGGTGGTGCACGAGCACCCATACTTTTATCCTTGCTTTTGGAGAGGTTATTGTGACTCTAGAGGACGTGGCGAATCTGATGTTGTTGCCCATTGTTGGGGAAGAGGATCCATGGCATATAGCGTTAATGCGAGAGGAGTGTCACGTTAGTAGCTTTGAAGAAGGTGATGAGGAAGAATGCCAGTGCCTCTTCTCGCTCATGGAGAGGAGAGTATAGCATTGATTTTCTGACTTGGATGTAATACTTTCGAATGGGCAAAGGTAAAGATAGCCCGTATGTATGTGCAGCTTTCCTTACGACCTGGTTGAGTAAGTTTGTCTTCGGAGGCTTCCCGAACCACAAGATTATGGCTGAGTGCATTCCCCTAGCAATTCGATTGGCAGAAGGTGTGAAGCTCTCTTTAGCCCCATTGATGCTAGGTACGCTCTATCATAGGCTTGATGTGCTCCATTTTGATGAGATCCTTGGCGCTAGTTATTATATCATTGAGTCACATGTATGTTTGTCTTTATTGCAAATGTTTGCATGGGAGAGGTTTCGACCATATCACTCTAGCTATGTTACTAGTGGGAAGGCTTTGAAGGAATATCCCATGGTGAAGTGTGGTTACACTAGCGGAATAGCTTTGTTAGCCTGCTCTTGGATAGGAAAAATGAAAATAAAGGTACAGATAATCTCGGAGGTTGATGGCTTTCTGGATGACCGTGTCAGCTTTAATTTCCATGCATACAAGACAATGCCAGGGACATTTGCTCCATTTGAGGTGAGCCTTTTTGACAGGACACTCCCAGTGATCCTTGAGAATCAGATTATGGAGTTCACCATGGGGAATTCAAGTCATCTGGAAATGCTGGCGGTGATCACACCATCCATGTTGCCATGCATCACATGGCGAGGGACGTAGAGTCTAGAGTGCTATTGTCCAGAAAGAGTCGCGAGACAGTTTGGTTATGATCAGGATGTGCCTTTTCGCTCCTTCATCGAACAAAACAGATTGGAATAAGGCCATGCGGCCTTATATTGATGAAGCTACCACAGCCATGTGAAGTGAGGGTGCTGCCACACTTAAGTTTCTCAGCGTTGCTAGAATGTCAATTATGTCGCCACTGATGTTGGAATATTGGGACGCACTACTGAAGAAGTTTGCAGCTTTCATTCAATCACTGCAAGAAGTGGTGGAGTATGGCTCTACTTCCCGGGATTGTGAACGTCTTTTTACTCACAGTAATTCTTTCTTGAGTTACTGCCACAAACACTTTTAGGGGTTTCTGACTAGGGAGGGCAATGGACAGTGGGTACTTGTCTGTCCTCCCATTCCTAGCATGGCATAAAAAGACTATGACCAGGCTGGTGTCGTTGGTGAAGAATTTGGGCAACAGGTAGCCGGCGGCATTGGGGTTGTAGGTAAGCATACTCTTTTGCTCTTACTTTAAGCTTTGGTTCTTCTTTTATTTAGAGGATTGACTAGATTAAACTAGTGCTGTAGAATACTTAATGTTCCCGTGCCTTTATCATAATATTGTAGAGGGAGCCGAAGAAGCCGCCCCTCCTAAGAGGTCGGTTTTGGGTAAAAGGAAGAGTGTTGCCCATCCACCTAAGAGCAGAGCACGTAGAACTTCTTCTTCGCTAGCCAGCAAGCCAAATAAGGCTAAAGTGTCCACACCCTCCAAGGCTAAAATTGCTAGGGACAAAGATACAAGTTGTGATAGTGGAAGCAATGAGAGTTCTTGGGGCGATCCAGATCCCGAGGTGATTGAGTGGATCAAGAGATTGAGACCCGTTCATGGCGAGAGGCGCTTGGGTGAGAAGTATTACTTAATGTTGTTGACTCTATAATTGATTGGAGTGATCCTGCATCCTTCACAGCCGAGTCGACAGAGGCTAAGGCCAGCGAGGTTCCACCACACAAACCTACTACGGTAAGTCATTTGAACTCGTCCTTTATCTTGAGAAATGCCAAAATGTGCAGGTTTCGTATGGCACCACCAGCATGACAAAGAAACCTGAAACAGTGAAGACTTAGCTAAAAGTGACAGTGTTGAAGGTATGAGCCCCTGCATCTTCATAAAAATTGAGAATCATTCTTGATAATTGCTAAGTTGAATATCATTAACTTTTCTCTCCTTGTGCACAGCCACGTCCCATTAGCGAACTACCTCCTTTCAGGGCTGGCGACTTTGAATTGGTTCCCAAGGGGTTTATACCAGCAAGGAAAACTAGTGCTACTAGCAGCGAGAAAGGTACTTGAAGCGATTCAATGAAATAGTTTGGATTTCAACACTTTGCTTAGTTGAGCGACATATTTCTCTATTGATAAGTCATGCTTTCATTCACTTTGCTAAGTGTTGAGAAGGGCGAGGTGAAGGCTGCAATAGGTGTTAGCAAAGAAAAAGGAAAGAAGGTCACTGAGGTAATCAGCTCTAATCCCAGCGAGAGTAGCAGTTGTAAATCTAGTAGAAACGATGCCTCGTTCAAGAATGGGAATGGCTCCAAACAGAGAGGCAAAGTTGTAGGCTTTCAAGGCAGCATTTACATGAATAGGGCCACCCTTGAAGAATTCAAATCGGATGCGGGTGATGCTACGAAGAAATTTGTCTCCAATAAGGGCAAAATGGACATTGGTGTGCTGACCATGAGTTCAACAAAGAAAATGGTTAGCCTCGGCGAAACCGAGCATGGTGATCAGCAATCCGCGGCCCCAGCTAAGTTAGGTGAGATCGACGATTTGGTCATGAGACTACTCAATAGTCTCGACGAGATGAATGAGGATAGGGATGTCTCATTGGCTCGATTTGGCTTGGTGCCCCTGGGTGGCTCACGAGCAGTGGATAGTTTTGCAGTGCTTACATTGTTGGAACTGTGGGCACACCACCTGCTAAACATTTTCCAAATCTCACAACATGTAACAAGGCCAAAAAGATGGTGGTCGAGGACACCTTCTCAATCCTTTGTGAAACCATGCGACATATGGAGGTAACTCCTTTTGGTGAAATGGATGAGGATTTCTTCTATCTGTGTAGGGATGCCCTTGATGATGCTGAGAGTATTAACTTCGAAGTCAACACCCTTTGCACTCATTTATCAAATTTGGCAAAGGTGTATGTTGGGAGGATCGAATTTGGCATGGTCAAGGGCTTGGATGGGCGAATCAGGGAGCAGGCAAAGCATGTTGCAAAGATGGAGAAGTCTTTAGTCGAGACAAAAGAACTTGTCGTCAAACTGGAAAAAGGGTTAGTATCAACCAAGGCTTACTTGGGGTCGCTCAATCAAGAAAAGGAACACTTGGATTCCAACAGTGTGATTGAGCTTTGCCAGGCCTGTATGGAGGCTGCCAAAGCCTTCAGAGATGAGCCTAGCCCTTTCTTGCCATGAATTAGCCTCGCGTGCTAGCTTTCCCTTCATTTTTATCCCTTTTCTTTTATAATATGCTGACTGCTGGCGATGCTGCCATGATTTAACTGCTTAACCATGCTTGCTCTAGGTTGAACATCTCTGCTTCCAACGAAGTCTAGACCTTGTTGCTTGTTTATTCTCTTGTTTTTCTCTGCTGCTCTAATTATATCAACTGGACAAACAAATTGTACTGAAGAAATGGATCAGGGAGGTCATTTTAGATCATATCATATGATGCACTTCTTTTTTTTTTTCTTTTTTTTTTCTTTTTTTGAACACTCCCTGTCCTTTTACAATGATAGACCAAAATAAAAGTAGTCTAAATAGACCAACACACAAAGTGCTGATCACAATAATAGAGTGCTGTTTGCACCTCATATTTGATGATACACCACGGATGAAATTAATTCTCTTGGCTGGAATAAATGATAACGCCAGAGATAAAATTATAAAAATAGATGAGGTTGGTGAAGCCTAACAATAATATGGCTTGAGCCATTTGGTGTTCACAGGATCCAATGGCGGTTTTCCCTTGTGAGTTTTGAGACGATAATATCTGCTATCATGTGCTTCTACGACGATGAAGGGACTGTCCCAGTTGGTAGCAAACTTAGATGGTCCAGCAATGTTCTTCCTTACATGGTCCGAGGCCTTAAGGACCATCTGTCAAACTGTGAAAACTCTAGCCTTGACTACACGGTTGTAGGTATTTGTCATCTCGGCTCGGTATTTTTGAGCCTTTTCTTGTGCTATCTGACGAAGTGCTTCGACAGACCCTAAGTCTTCAATTTGCCTTTAGCCACAAATATCAGCATCGATACCCAGCTCGGACACAGCCAAGATGCGTGCAGTTGGCATTAAGACTTCGTCAGGAAGGACTGCATCGCAACCATATACCAGAAAATAAGGTGAAAAACTTGTAGCAATCTTGGCGATGTTCAATGCACCCAAAGAGTATCTTGCAAATAAATGCTCCACCCTCCTTCGCACTCATAGACCATCTTGCTCAAAATTCTTAGCGATTTTTGTTAGTTGCCTCCGCTTGACCATTGCCTTGGGGGTAATAGAGGGTGGACTTTCGATGCTTGATCTTATAAGTGTCCATCAATCTTTGCACATGTTGATTAACATAAGGAGTTCCATTATCACTCACAATTTTGTATGGGATCCCAAAACGACATATTATGTACTCCTTGATAAAGTTGGAAACCGTTGGGCCTGTAGCCTTGCGAAAGAGGACAGCCTCTACCCATTTGGTGAAGTATTCGGTGGCCACCAATATCCAAATGTAACCCTCAGATGAGGGGTAAATGGGACCAATGAGATCCAAGCCCCAAGTATGAAAAGGCTAAGGAGTCTTCATATCTTACAGCAAATGAGGATGGGAGTGGATAAGACTAGCATGAACTTGGCAAGTGTGACATCATCGAACGAAATTTGCAACATCTTGCTTCATGCTTGGCCAGTAATAGCCATGAGCTAAAAATTGCTCATATAGCTTTCTCCACCCTTGATGTTTGTCGCATTCCCCTACATGTATCTCAGCCATGACTTTCCAAGATTTTTTTAATGATAAGCAGTGAAGTGGCTCGCTAGTAAAGCTCATTCGAAATAGAACTCCACCATCCATGAAAAATTTTGACAATGATCTTTTTAGATCATGTGCGTCCCTTAAAGAGTCTGGCCATATTCCCTTAGCGAAGTACTCCATGTAGGGATGGAGCCAATCTTGAACACCATCAGCAGGGAAGCATTCTTCGTTTTGATAATAAACTTGTTGACAGGATACACATTGCTGTTGGAATTCAATAGACTGTCAAGCCATACCTGGCCAATAATACCCTACTCACTAGACCCGGTGGTAGAGGCTTACACGACTGTCATGACCACATGTGCGATCATGAATTTCCCTAAGTTTGTGATAAGCCTCCTTATCGCTGATGCACCTGGCCAAGATTCCACTAGGGAGGTGATAGTGTAGCTCACGGGAAATAATAACATAACTAGATAGGTCCCTTAAAGGCATACCAAAGTTTTGTTGCAACAGGGCGTTATATATCTCACACCGCCAGTCAGCACGATCAGGTAGTTCAAGCAAAATAGAGTCGTAGGTGTGATAGATAGGTCGTTCTCTTCGAATGATCTAGATGCTAAAGGGACTCTTGACCATAGGCACTCTCGAAGCAATTGTGGCCAAGGCATTAGCCAATCGGTTCTCCATCCGTGGTATCTACTCATATCTTATGCTGGCAAAGGACTGCTCCAGGTGTTGGCTGAAACAACGATATGGCACAAGATGTTTTTCTTGGATAACGAAGGTACCTTGAACTTGACCAAGGATCAAACCTGAATCGTCGATGATTTTCAAGTGTTGAACACTAGCCTCTTTTGCCATAGCGAGCCCAATAAGCTAAGCTTTGTACTCCGCGGTGTTATTCGTGTAGTGAAAATCAAACTTGAATGAAAATACCATATCATGGCCTTTGTCATTTATGAGAACAACGCCAGCGCCAACCCTTTCTCCTGCGGAAGAACCATCGAAATATAATGTCCATTGTTCCTCAATTTCCTACGCAATAGCAACCTCACCACCTGGGACTTCATCAAAAATAGGATACTAGACTTCATTGAAAAATTCAAACAACAAATTTGAAACAGCTTGTCCCTTTATGGCGGTGGGATTAATGCATGAGATATCATATTGAAAAAATTAAAGGAGCCAATTAGCAAGATGGCCAATAAGCATGGGTTGTGTTAAAAGGTATCAAATGGGCTTGATTCGGTGCCCTTGAGGTTTCAACTGACATAATAAATTAGTTGTTCCTTGCCTTCTTGGTTGTCTTGGGCTACCAATGCACTCATAGCTTTGTCGAGAGTGGACAAATAGACTTTAAGTGGTCTGCTCTAGATGGGGACAAATTTGGTCGGCAATCTAAGCATGAGATTCTATAGATGTAAAAAGGCACGTTGCTGTTCTACTGTTCTACCATCCACACGAAGGCGGCTCCTTTCTTCAACAAAGGGTTAAATGTGGATAGTATTTCTGCCAACGAAGGGATGAATCTGCGAATATATGAGATCTTGTCGATGAAGCTTCATAGCTGTTTGAGGTTCTTAGGTGGCTGCATGGCTCGAATAGCCTCAGATTTGGCCGGATCCACACTAATACCGTGTTTGCTCACAAGGAGTCCCAGGAATTTCCCAGCAGAAACACTAGATGCACATTTCACTGGATTCTTTTTTAGCTTGTATAGATGACATTTGTTGAAGACTTTCCTCAACACATCGAAGTGACCTAGTCTTTTTTCAGACTTCACCACAATGTCATCAATATAGACTTCAATATATATGTGGATGAAATCGTGAAAGATTGCCACCATGACTCTTTGATAAGTAGCCCCAACATTTTTGAGTCCAAAAGGCATAACAATATAGAAGAAATTACCAATGGGGGTGCGAAAAGCAGTTTTCTCTGCATCGCTGGGGCACATACTGACCTGGTTATAGCCACTGCTGCTATCTATGAGAGAGTACATCTCGCAGCCAGTAGTATTGTCCATCGACACGTCCATGTTCGGGACAGAGAATTCATCTTTGGGGCAGGCCTTGTTGAGGTCGCGAAAGTCAACGCAGCACCTAATCTACCCATTCTTCTTTCGAACTGGTACAATATTGGCCGGCCAAGTCGGCTTCTTTGTTGGTTTGATGAATCATGTAGCCAAGAACTTCTCAACTGCTTCCTTAATTTTCAGAGTAACCTCTGGATGGAAGGCGCGATTTGGCTACACAACTGACTTCATACTAGGATCAACATTCAAAGAATGTGCCACTAAGGTTGGATCGAGCCCTGGCATTTCATCATAATTCCAGGCAAACACATCCTTATATTCTCGGAGCAAATCAACCATTTGGCTCTTTCACCCGTAGTTAAAGTAGTGCTGATATGTACATGCTTGGGGTTCGTTGGATCATCTCCAAGATCAACAGCTTCGAGAGGCTCTAAAGAAGTGAGTGTCGGTTGAGCTTTATGAAGGGTTGGCTTTGGTGGTATTAGATGATTAGCTTCATCAGAAAAATCTAGGTGCTCAGCAAGTATCTCATTGCTAGCCTTAAGAGCGAGGCATTCTATTCTGTTGGAGAGGCTTCGTTCATCAATCGAAGTATCTCCCTCCAAAGCAAAGAATAGGTGATCCAAAGACATGGCCTATTGGGGATAGAACCATCTCACGCATGGCTGAGCGGCCTCGCGCACCTTCACAAAGTATATTTGATCCTCTCATCAGGAAGAACAGTTCGATTGCACTTTGATCGTGCTTAGACAGTCTTTCCTACCTCCTTCTTCTGTCTTTTATGCTCTAGGACACTTCACAAATCAAGATCAGGCTTATCTTTGATGTCATTCCATGTTGACAAGGCAATGCCACTTGGGTGAGATACTGTTGCTTGGCCAAAAAGGGTGAAATCATCATAAAAAGCAGCTTTAGTGAAGTGGGTCTAAGTCTGATCAAATGGCAATGGGTTGGCGAGGATAAAATCTTTACATTTAGGCGACCCTTGACACATTGATGATAAGTGGAAAGGACAATCTTATGTCGATGTAGCCATGGCCGTCCCATCAATATATGATAAGAAACTTCCACATCAATAACATAAAATGTAGTTTGAGATTAGACTGGACCGACCTTTAATTCAAGTTGAACGTATCCAAGGGTGTGCTCACTGTTGCTGCCAAAGCCAACAATGTTGAGTGAAAACTTGATGATTCTTTGCTAAGAAATTCTCGTAGCGATGATGGTGCTCAGCGGTACTAGGTTGAGAGAGGATCTTATATCAACCAGTGCACGCCTGACATCAATAGCGTTGATATGAATAGATAAGTAAAAAGGCTTTCTATGGTCAAGATATGACGCTTCCATATCTTCATCAGTGAATGTAACAACATTGGAAGATTCAAGATAAGCGCGGCTGGCGTGTGCTTCAGCGTTGAGGCATTCTCCTCCAGCTTCATTGGTGATAGAAAGTATGGCTTTTGTGGCTCTTCGTCGCACCTTGGTAGTGAAGCCAAGCTAATCAAATAACATTTTGAACTTCGTAGTTCGCTAGAGTGCACGGACAGAGAAGCTGGGCGTATTGTCAAGGAATTCAACTATTGGCTCACTTGCTCCAATGCTTTCTACATGAGTGAAAACATTGATGGTGCCTTGGTTGTGGCGTGGGAGAGGATCTTCGTCCACCCTCTGTCTTTTGTTTGGTACTTCTAATAGCCCTTTTGAGACTCGTCGATGATACATCCTTCTTAAGGAAAAACAGTCCGTAGTCACATGGTGAACAAAGTGATGGTAGCGACAATACTTGGGGTTACGCTTGTCATCGTCGCTCGATTCACGGTGCGTCTGAGGCAGTGTGATGTCACCGTCATCGATCCACTTATCTAGGAGCACGTCAAGTTCTTCAACAATGAGAGGAATAGGTGGTGGCAGTGCCATGTCACGATCTCTCATTTTCTGCCCTTGTCCTTGGCCTTGGATAGAGACAGCCAAGGTGTGGGCAGCGATTTTCTTTTCTGTCGACTTCGCCACAAATTTCCCAGTAGAGATGGCTTTGGCAGAAATGGCTGTTCTCTTGGTGGCATCGAGTAGCCTTGCAAACTGGTTGATCCTAATGTTTTCAAGGACGGCGCGATATTTCGGAAACATGTTGTTGATGCAGATTTCCACCAAGAAGGACTCGGCATGGCCACCATAGCAATCAAGTGCCAAATCCCTAAATCTCTTCACATAGACCATTAAATCTTCCTCAGTGTATTGGTAGGTGTTGTGAAGATCAAGGATGGTGATGCGCTCTTAACTTTGAAAATATTTTTGACAAAATTGTTCCACCATCTCGTCCTAAGAACGGACAGAGCCGGGAGGCAAAGTGGTGTACCATGTATAAGGTCTATCAGAGAGAGACTTTGAGAACTCACGTAAATACAAATCTATGTCACCATCGTAAGCCCCCATGGCATCAAGGAATTTGCTGACATGCTCCAAAGCGCTGCCTTTCCTTCCATCGTATTACAAGAAGGCGAGACTTTCGTATTTCTTCGGGTATGGTCGGGATAGAATCTCCTTTGGATAAGATGGGTCACGGACGAACTGAAAAGGGGTTGCTCCATGTTTGAAACGTTCCCTGTCCAGAAAAGCAATAAGATCTGCCATGGTGACATAACCTTGCATAGAATTGGCTGCATTGGGTGGAGCTCCATCGGTACTGGTAGCTGCAACTATTGGTGGCGTCGAACTATTTGGCCGAGCAGCAGAGCCTCCATTACCATTGGTAGCCCCAGTGTGGACTTCATGTGGCTGGGAAGTTCCAGCTGTATTGACGGGTTGTGCTAGATTATGCACAACATGTTGAGTCTACACATTGGTGAGGAGCTAAGTAGTCCTTTGCTGATCTTCGTGCAAGACCTGGATAACTTGAACTAGGGATGCAAGGCTAGGATTAGTAATTCCTTGCAAGAGGTCAAGAAAAACATCTGTTGATGGACATGGCTGCTGAAACTCCCGTCCATCATCTTGGCTAGGCTCCTAATTTCTATCAGCAATGCGAGACGAGATTGCCCTTGTGACAGGCATGGCTAGAAAAATTCTATCAAAGACGAATAAATAGTACTGAGGCAGAACACCGGAGATATTATGTCGTTGAAGAAGAGCAGAACAAGATGAAGCTTTAGGATGACTTCCCCAATGGAGTCACCATTTTGTTCGGGGGTCTTGGTGATGTAGGTGAATGAGTCAACAGTGGTGGTGACGTGGAAATTGACTAGGATGACACTTGAGAAAATGAGGAGGGTTCTTTTGGCGCCACCCGTCTCATGTGCAGGAGGCTACATGTTACAAGCCATCCTGTTCAGTCAGGTGGTGATATCTCGCAGTGCACTTTCCAACAAAAGCTTTAAAAAAAAATGAATCATTCGGCCAAGCCGGTAGAGTTGGGCAACAATGGTGGGGTTCCTAGAATTCAAGATGATTGCACAACTATCAAAAATGTGATGAGGAGAAGTTGTGCATTGTTAAGGGAGGGTAGCAAAGGTGTGAAATACATATGGCTCGAAATCACAACTTGAGAATCACACTTATACATAAATCATCATAACATAATAATAATGACAGTAAAGGTGACCTCTTTCATTCCTATTGTAGATCTTTACTCCATAATGAACGATCCTCATGTTGAAAATGAAGAGTGCAGTGACTACAATCTTGAGGTTCTTCCAAGAATAAAAGGGATAAACTTGAGAGTGGTGATGGGAGAAGGAAGGGTGACCGCTTGGGAGCTTACAAATGAAACACTTGATCCCATTTTTTATGCTAACCTTGTGATCTTGATCATCTGATACTCAAGAAGAACTACCAGAAAGCTGCAACTACAGCATGTTGTTCCACAGCCACAATGTTTTGCAAATCTGGAAACACTTTGCAGTGCTGGGTGATATTTTGCAATGTTGGAAAAAATATTCTATAGTGCAGGAAAATGTTCTGCAGGGTTGGAGAACGCTCTACGATGCTGGAATATATTTTCTAGAACTAGAAAATATTCTACAGAGCTGGAAAATACTCTGCAGAACCGGAGGCTTTGGAAACCCGAGAGAAATGGTGGTTTACGGGTGATGCTTGCGTGTAGACCAATAGGTTGAAGATGGGATCTATTTTTCTTTTCGGAGGAGGAAAGGAGAGTTTTGGTGTGCAAGTATGTTGTTGTGCTACATACGTCTTTCCTCTTTTTTTTTGGTGTTTCTTTTTTTTTTTTTTTCTGTCTATATGTTCTTTTTTAGATGAAGAACCGATAACTTATATATATGCAGTGGTATCACCATAATTTCTAGTTAGTGGCTTAGAGGTGTGTAGAAAGGTTGGGGTGAGCTGTCGAATTCTTGGTGGTTCTAGGCACTGCTGGCAACTCTATGACAGTGGCATCATGAATTGCCCAACGATTCCAACAAAGCTTTGCTGGTTTGGGTGAGAAACTGGAAATTGTATATTTTTGGCAATCTCCTTAGCCATGCGAAATCCCATCTTTGGAGAGGTGCTTAAGTGCAGTCGGTAAAAACAACATCTGCACAGGATTTGATGAGTTCCCCAAGCTCTGCGCAAGATTTTGGAAGATTCTACCAACAGATAACAATCTTCTACAACAATTTCCAAAGCCATAAAACTTGTGTAGCCACCCTTGCATTAAATATGGCTGCAAGTGGCTGATGGTGACCAAGATAGCACCTCTAGTTAGTTTCTGGCGGGATTTCCAGTCTTCGGTTAGCATCAAATGGCACCGTTCTAGGAATCAAGTTCATTTCCATGCTTTTGCTACCTAGCCTCTTTCTAACGAAGTTGGGCAACATCACCAGCGCCAAGCTTCACTAGTGTGGATGCCTTGCTTTACTAGACGGGCAGCATTCATCCATCCATGCCTGCCAAGCCACTACTCCCATAATTTATCCCGAATAATTTCCATGAGCTTAGATTCATGGGCTTCTGTTTATCTGCAGTGACAGCAAAGCACATATGAGTATATATTTAAGAATAATAAATATATAGGCATATATAGCGAAGAAGGAAACTCCTTCATGCGTTGAAGGGGGCTTTGTGGATGAATATTTGCTGCTCTTGTTTGCTTTCTAGCCATGGCTAGCATCAGTATATTGCTGTTGTACATGGCTGGCGTTGCACCAGAATGAGGAAAAGTGGCATGGGTGTGTATTGTGATATCGTTGTCCCGAGCCAAGCTTCGCTGGCTGATGATACTTGCTGACACGTAAGATATGGAAAATATGTGTTATGAGTTGGGATTACCGGCGATTAATAATTTTGTCCCTTTGTATAGAAGAGCGACTTTGTGCATGACCTCCGGCCATGTTATGTATGTATTGTGGGATCAGCCATGCATAGCCTTCTCATAGCTAGAGGGACAATAGTGGCTAGCTTTGTCCATGACTGGAGCATGAACTATGTGGAATCGGAAGAGCACTCCCACTAATTTGCTAAGCTGCGAAGGGGTAAATCTCATTAAACCAGACTCCACTATAGCGATGAATATGTATAGAGAAAGGTGAAGTTGTCTCCATGGAAGGGGGATGCCAGTCGTACCTGCACCATTAGAGGGTGGTCTTGGTTGTTGTTGCTCGTCGGGCACCACACCACCATGCACAGGCGACCACCAGAGGACTGTCGGTCACTACTTGATGGATTTTTATCGTTGGAGGGTAGCCATCCCATCCGATTGCAGGGTTGCAACTGTTATTGGTCTCATGCTAATCGTATCAAGTTGCACTGACTCTTTGTTTGTTTTTGGAAGCCAATAAGATAGAATATGTAAAATCCAACCCTTTGTTTGTTGTTGGGAGCCGATGAAATGAAGATATGTAGAAATGTGTATCCTTTTTTCCATTGCTATAGGCTAAATGAGATAGTGAATTTGATCCTTTGTCCATCATTGGGAGTTGTATAGATATAATAAGATCAAGCCGTTGTCCATTGATGGGAGCCAAGCAGCAAACTAGGCTCTTTATCCATTGTTGGGGAGCCAAAATATGTAACGGTAAACGTTGCTGCAAAGGACATGACGATCAAAAACACCCAGCCATGTTGCGTAGATAATGTGGTCAGATCTGGCCATGTGTAAGGGAATGCTGCTGAAGTAGAACATGTTTGTATCATTCCTAATGAAGTGGTTAAATGCCGCTCCTGGCGATATATAAGAGAATAATGTTGAGTGCTGCTTCTGGTGATGTTGACTCCATTGCAGCAATTAGTAGAAAATGGGAACTGCACGCCCAATGTGAGAAGTGAGCGTTGTGGGCCCTTGCTAATGTGTATCTGCAGACGTTATTGGTGATGTAACCATATAAACTCATCCCTCAACACTCGATTATGCAACCATTGTTACTCAACTTGCGGTTATAAATCCGTTTTTACTTTGCTTGTCGGTCATTCGACCATCACGGTTATAAAACTGTTTTTACTTTACTTGTTTGGTCATTCAACCGTTGCGGTTATAAAATCGTCTTTTCACTATTTTCACTTTACTTGTTCGATCATTAGACCGTTGCAGTTTTAAAACTGTTTTTACTTGTTCGGTCATTCGACCGTTGCGATTATAAAACTGTTTTTACTTTACTTGTAAAGTCATTTGACTGTTGCGATTATAAAACCGTTTTTACTTTACTTGTTCAATCATTGGACCGTTGTGGTAATAAAACTGTTTTTACTTGTTCAATTATTTGACCATTACGGTTACAAAATCGTTTTTACTTGACTTGTACGGTCATTCGACCGTTACAGTTGTAAAACCATTTTTACTTTATTTGTTCAGTCATTCGACCAGTTTTACTTATTTAGTTGCGAAAAAAAAAAAAACAACTGTTAAAAAATTTGTGTTATTCTTGTCTTTTCTTTTCATTTTTAACAAAAAGAAAGGAAAAAAAAGGCAACTATCATAACTCAATATTTTGGTAGAATTTTATTTTTATTTTAACTAATACGTTTTGTCTTTGTTTTCCTTGTTAGGTTCATGAGTAAAAGGGGATTTCATGAAGAGGATGGAAAAGAAATATGAGAAAAAGGACTCAATTGAAGAAATCAAATGTTGGAAGAAAGAAATTCATCAAGATTAATTTGTAAACCCAACACCAACCCCTTTCAATTGAGCCCACTAAATTATCCAAACCCAAAACTCAAAACCCAAAAAAACACAAGCCCACCATTACCCAAAACCCAAAACCCAAAACCCAAAAGACCCAAAACCCCAATTAAAAACAAAAAAAAAAAAAAAAAAAAGGAAAAAAATCTTCACTTCTCTGCAACCCAGATCTCCTTTGCTTTGCACCCCCTGCACTGCGCCCCCTACTGTTGCACCTTTGCCTCTGCGCCTGCACCGAGCCTGTGCCCCTGCTTGCTACGCCGATCTAGCTTCTACGCCCCTGGACCCCGCTTGCTGCAGTGAGCCTGCACCATGCCTACACTATGCCTCCTACTTGCTGCGATCCTCTACACCCCACTGCAGCTCAATCCCACGCCTGCTCTGTCCAGAGGCCTGCACAAGAAAAAAAAAGAAAAAAAAAAGCTTTCGATCCTTTGCTTTCCAGCCTACAGAAATCAACAGCTGTCAAGAGGTTAAAGGGGTTCAAATTTTGACATTTTGAGAATCAACGGTGGAGAAGAAAAGGTAGGATTAGAAGGCTAGGAAGAGGAGGGTTTTTGCCTTTGCTTTGGTCGGTATAAATAAAGGGTTTTAGGGTAGAAAAAGGGGTTGATTTTTGGGTCTGGTTTTGGGAGTCTCCATCTGGGTTTTCGAGAGCAATAGAGAGAGATTTTGTGGAGAAGAAAGGGAGGTGGACAGCGGCTGAAAAGGAAGCTTATTTCTCTGTATCTGTTTCCTGCTTAGGTAATTCCCTAAACAGAGGAATTTTTGGGAAGGATGGTGAGGGAGACGAATGGAGCTTGATCCCGTGAGTGGGATCCCTCTTTCCGATCCGAATCTGTCTTCTCTCAGAAAATTTTCGCCTTGTTTGTTTCAATTTTTCTTAGATTTCGATGTATTAGGACTGTATTTGATGATGATATTGTGAATGAAAAAAAAAATCAAATATGTTCTGATTGAATTTCATGAATTTCAGTTGAAGTAAATGCTTATTTATTTTCCTTTGTCTGTGTTGATGAATGGTTAAACAAGAACCGTAAATCCCTTTTCCAGGTTTCATTTGTTTTTCTTGTTTGATGTTTGATACTTTGATTTTTTTTGATGATGACATTGTGAATGAAAAAAAAAAAAT